AGAGAGAGAGAGAAAGAGAGGTTTTGTGTTGAATAGCAAAGCTGGGCCAACAAGAGAGCAGATCCTGGTTGGCTGGTTATTCCCTGTGGACTGACACCCAGCAGGCTGCATAGGGACGGATGTACAATCTCAGCTGAGCTCACCCTGTTAGCCTCTCATCACTGCCCTGTGCACTGCTCTAACTCTGCTCTAAAGCTACACATGAAACAGAGCTGGTCCCAGGTCTGTACATACACAGGTAAAAGCACTTTCTCATGTATCTGCATTAGCAGTGTATGAGAGCTGATGAAATTTTAATGATGGCTTTGGGGAAATTCTGGGTCAACTGGAATTAGTGTAAGTGGAAATATGAGAATAAGAAGTATGAGGGATATAAAATAACAGGATACATTATGCAAAAATAATTACAGTAGAAGACATAAAGAAACAATGCCATTTAAAGGGGCACGCCTATGACTTAATGTTGCACTTTCATAAAGTTAGGGGACTTAAGAGAGACAGTCAAAGCAGCAAAGGTTGAGATATCCTGAGTTTTGGTCCCAAGTGGTAAAGCTTCTCAAATTGCTATATCCTACACTTCCCATAATGCAACTCGATAGCATCTTTCTTTATATGCCAATGTCTTTTCAACTTTTTGTACCGAGTTTGTACAGCAGGCTATCTTAAATAAATCTGTAGTCGCACAAACTTGCTCTTTTAGATTTTTAATCAAAGAACTAAATATTTTCAAATTTCAAATTTCCACTAAAGCCTTGGAAGCTTGACTCCATGCAGAGTTTTACTTCCAGAACAAGAGCAAATCCGCAGACGTGTTCTTAATGTCATTTGTTGAATATTACACAGTAGTATCACTAGTATAATTTTTATTCAATAGCCATGCAACTTTTCCTGGTAGCTGTAGTGTTTGACATTATTTAAGGGGTTAGGCAGGTGGGTTGCGTTCAAGTTTATCTGAATGAATGTCATATTTGTGTTCAAATATTGAAAAGGTTTCAGATTTATGTCTGTGTAGCTCTCTTTCTTTATCTAGCTACAGTAACTAGCAAGCTAGAAGCTAGTCTTTGTGTATTCATTCGCTTTCTTATCTGTACTCATCTGTAAATGGATACTACAGTCATAATGCCATGAAAAAATGAGAATGCCATCTTTCATTCATTCATTCACCTTTGTTTATCAGTGTATTCTATTCATTAATCTGCCATTATTTTATTTTTTCACCTATTTCCTACATTCCTCCCTTAGTACCTCACCCCCAGTATTTCCTCTATATACATCCCATCAGTGCTGCCATGTTACCTCCAGGACTTTTCCAGTGATGTACTTCTTGCAGCTCTCACACTGGATGCCAAACATGGCGTGGTAGTCCATCTCACAGAAGGGGATTCCATCCCTGATAGGACAACACAGGACAAGTCAGCAGATCAGAGGCAGCACAGAGCATCGGATTCACTTCACGTCACACTGGAGACAGCTCAGAGCCTCAGAATCCTCGGTGCACCCCATCTGAGCTGACAGCACTCAGTGGGTGCTTAGGGAAGGTGCTGCAGACATCATCAAACTATGATGACAGAACTATATTTGGATCATGTGTAAACATTTTACAGCAAATATAAAACTATAAACACTTTTATAGCAATTTACAGCTCTAGCATATTTTTGCAGTATAAAACTGTATTACAATGCTTTTAGCTAGCAATGTATGAAACATATCAATACATTCTGTCAAAATACTGATCAGATCAGTGCTAATTAGGAAGACAAATCATACATTGGTTTCTTCTGTCTAAGCAGCATCTACTCTCAATTCAATAGTACTGTACTAAGTTTTCTGATATTACACCACTGTGGTTAGGATTTAGTAAGGTTTAGGCACAGAAAACATTGGTTAGGTTATGTTCATGAATTGTGTGTTATACTCTATAGATAATCTGCTGAACATCTACAGAAAAACGCATCAGTTGAAATGTTACAAACACTCAATAAAGTAAAAACTGTAGGCAGACTATCCGAATAATGTGTTGCCTTATATTACTTTGACTTTATATACTGTGCAGACAACACGTACTTAACTTAAAAAGGTTACATGCTATTAAATGCAAAATACATTTCTACATGTAAGGGCAAAAGCTGTCATAACAAGAACAGTACAACATTAGAAGTACAGCAAAGATCAAACTAAAATAATAACCATAATCTTTCCCAAACCTTAAGAAGGTGTTTTTGTAGCCTAAACTTAACAACACCAGCCTCCAGTGCCAAAGAATGGAGCATTTATTCATAAATTGTAATATCAACCCAAATTTACATTACAGGTAGCTGTAGGCAAAAAATGCTGTAATATGTTCACGACTTTGAGATTTTGTTATCAGCTCTACAGGGAGTTCAATCAAGTCCCTGTATTAACTTTACTAGATGTAAGGTCACAATAGAGAAACAAACATTATAAATTATTATAAACATTATAAAATCGTATGTGGTACGTGTCCTAACCAGTAGCCTACCGGATGCCCCAGTGGGTTTTCTTTTTTAAAGTTAAAAATCTAAACATTCTTCTAAAAATTGCAGGGAAAAGAAGTACTGTTATTTAGCCTTGAATTAATGTAGTCAAAGCATCCATATGCTCAGATCAGAGTAGTATTTATGTACTGAATATCAAGATGTTAATGACCTTCTTGGAACTTGGAACCCTTTCAAACTTGCCTAAATGGTGGGACCTTGGAATGATCTTCAAAAAAATCAATACTCCACTAACCTTAGACACTTGATAACCATGATAACCCACCTCCCTGCTTATTTTTCTGTCTCTCTTTATTCTCATCTGTGTTTTGTCCTATTTACTTTTAATTTGTCTTTAACATGACATCATTGTAAATTAAGTCAACCTCAATGGTTCTTTGAGTTTAAATAAAGGTTTGAAATGAAATGAATTCTTGGTCTGACCAAAAACTGACCTTATTAACAGAATATTGCAAAGATATGAGGTGCAGGTATTTATCCTACATTTCTTTTCGGTGAATCTCAACTCCGGCACCTCCAATAAGCCTCTATCTGATAAGCAGTGGTCTTTATACACCGATCAGCCATAACATTATGAGCACTGACTGTGAATAACACTGATTATCTGGT